TTTATGCAGATTAGATTATCAAGGAGGCAATTTAAAAGCTGGCTGTGGGTGCATACACTGTCGTCTTATGACAAAAGCGTTTGTGGAAGTAATTACTGGGTTATGGTCGGTAATTTCTCAGTGTAAAAATGCATGGCCCACGGAATTTTTTACCTGTCATGCCTCCATACTAACATGTCCAACAGCCACAATTCAGTTAAAAGCAGATAAGAGTAAAACCTATTGTGCCTCAAAAAGAATTAAACGGCACCTCTGCTGTATGACTAGAATTCCATTCTTATGTATAGATCTAGAACTAGGTGAGCGGATTAGAATCAATCCCGTGTATAGTATTATTCCTGAGCAGTTCTTTTTTATACGCCCACATGTTCATGTGGACGTATATTGTCGTCGCCCCTGTCCGTCCGAAATATAGGTTTATATCCCAAAGATATCGGTCCCTTTCGATATTATGGATTATGGCCCCCGATTGTAAGAAAAGTCTAGATAGAGGTCACAATTTTGATCCGATTTTGATAAAACTTAAAATGTATGTTTATTACCCAAAGATCTCGGTTCTTATGTAATACCACGGTTGTGGACACTCTAGAAGTCGCAATTTTTGTCTGATTTTGATAAAACTCGAAATGCATGATTATAATCCAGGGATCTTGGTTCTTTTCGATATTTGCGCATATCGGACCGTAACTTTCTGGATTATGACCCCTGATTGTACGAAAAACCATGTTTTTAGTTTGTGGACCCTCTAGAGGTCACGACAATTTTTATCCGATTTTAAAAACCGTTTAAATGTATCACCGTTACACCCCGCTAACGGCTGAGTTTGAATTTCGTGAAAATCGAACGGACATTGCCTGACAAAATGGCCGCTCCTTGCACACAAATAGTGTAAAAGTATGTAATAAGGTCGTGGACCTCTAGAAGTCACAATTTTTATTCGATTTTGATGAAACTTAAAATACATCTTCATATCCCAAATATCTCATCCCCTTTCGATATTCGCGCATTTCAGACCATAACTTCCTTGATTATGGCCCCTGATTGTACGAAAAATCGTTTTTTTTAAAGCAGCGGCTGCTAGGCAGGATACCCCCACATTTTCGAGAGATGGATAGAGAACAAGCTAAAAAGAAAGTGATTTTCCTACAATCAAGGGCCATAATTCAGGAAATTACAATTCGATATGAGCAAAGTAATATCGAAAGGGACCGAGATCTTTTGGTTATAAACTTTGTCTGTCAGTTTTGGGCCGATTTTCACGAAATTAGAACTCAGCCGTCCCTAGGGTGTAACTGTGATATAATAATACGGTTTTTTTTTAAATCGGATAAGCTAAAAGCGCGATTTTTCGTACAATCAGGGGCCATAATTCAGGAAGTTACGGTCCGATATGCGCGAATATCGAAATGAATCGATATCTTTGGGTTATAAACTTACATTCCAAGTTTCAACCAAATCGGATAAAAATTGTGACCTCTATAGTGTCCACAAGCTAAAAACGTGATCTTTCGTACAAACAGGGGCCATAATCCATGAAGTTTCGACCCGATACATGCCAATATCGACAGCAACAGAGATCTTTTGGAGATAAACCTATATTTCAAGTTTCGTCAAAATCGGATAAGAATTGTGACCTGTAGAGTGTCCACAAACAAATTGTGGACGGACGGACGTCCGGACGGACAGGGGCGACGACAATACGTCCACATGAAAATGTGGGCGTATAAAAACTCGTGCTTTATCCATCTCTTGCAAAATGTGGACGTAGTTTTCCTGGCAACCGTTGGTTAAAAAAACCCAAAGTGGTTGTGTTGCAAGATACGTCCACACTTTGCCAGAGATGGAAAGAGAACGAGCTAAAAAAAAGGGCAATTTTTCGTACAATCAGAGGCCATATTCCTTAAAGCTAGGGTCCGATGCATGCCAATGTCGAAAGGAGTCGAGATCTTTGGGATATAAACCTATATTTCAAGTTTCGTCAAAATCGGATAAAAATTGTGATCAGTAGAGTGTCCACAAACAAATTGTGGACGAACCGGGGCGACGACAATTACGTCCACATGAAAATGTGGGCGTAAAAAAATGGTTTATGAGACTTTGTAAGGAGTTAAAATATAACTATATATTATTATCTATCCGTAACTCGGCTAACTCTGATACGATTCTACTCACGTATTTTTATTTGATTGACAGATTCAGGTGATTTATCTGAAAATAAAAACATTAAACTCGTACATAAACAGAATAAATAATTAAATTATCAACTTATTCTCATGGGTTATAAATCCAAGTATTTTCTCAGTCATCATCAACTTACAAAGTTATAAAAAAATTATTTCTGGTAGTTTTACGAAAATTCTTCAAAATATTTAGAAATTCCCATTATAATAGACAAGCCCTCGCTAAAATACTGTTTCCTGACTTCAAATGATCGTTTCACACGGGATTGTTATCTAAATCTGCCTATTGCAGGTCTTTCTTTAGGCCTGAAATGTTATATAAACTATTAATTAGACATTTATTAACATGAAAAGACCTTATATGTGTTCGATTTTCACTGGATTTTAATCCGATCTGTTGCTCAACGCTCATTGACTTTAGTAATGATGATCGAGGCTAAACCTAAAATTCAATCGCTAATATCTCGGTTCAGAGTGGAACAATTTGACTTAAATTTTCAGCATATCCTTTTTTACATTATCTAGTTTTTAACTATTATAGTGAGGGTTGTCAGCTCTTTATATAATCTTCCATAATGCCACCTTTAATCCACAATATAATGTAAAGTACTATTTAAACTCACTGCATTCCACTCAAATCGAGTAAAACTTAAGTGCATTTATTATATAAAACACTGTGTCCCTATAACGTCCTTTCGTTCTATTCTAAACGACACTATATTGTTATAAAGCAACCATAATAATCAGCATTAGGGTCGTAACTAGCTCAGAGCAACAGGGGGGGGGGGGACTAGAAGTGTTCTCAGGGGTGCATGTATCGGACCGTAACTTCATGGATTATGGTCCCTGATTGTACAAAAAATCACGTTTTTAGCTTGTGGGCACTCTAGTGGTCAATATTGTTATCCGATTTTAAAAACCGTTTAAATATATCACCGTTACACCATAATGAAGTTTGAGTTCGAATTTCGGGAAAATCGAAACGAAACCGCTCGACGAAATGGCCGCGCCTTGTACGCAAATTTAGTGTAAAAGTATGTAATACGAAGGTTGTGGACCCTAGAGGTCACAATTTTGTCTGATTTTGATGAAACTTAAAATATTATATGTTTATATCCCAAAGATCTCTTTTCCTTTCAGACCATAACTTCATGGATTATGGCCCCTGATTTTACGAAAAATCTCGTTTATTTTAGTTTGTTCTCTATCCACCTCTTGCAAAATGTAAGCGTGTCTTGCATTGCAACAGGTCGTTTTATTTTTAAAAAGAATATACTAACCCGTGCTGTATATATTGATAATATATATTGTTAACCCAATAAATACAGTCACAGCAGTAACAAGTATTAATGTTACTAGGCATGGATTTCTGGGGTTAGAGGCAACTCGAGTAGGGGTCAGTGTTGATGATGAAGATGCCACATAAAATGTCTGTTCTCCTAGGTTTGAAGATTTTTTAAAAATCACTTTCTTATGAGCAGACTTAACTTCCGTTAGCTTTTCTTGTTTCTGAAATAATTTAAACAGGGGAAATAGCATTCAACTTTTTATTTCGCTTATAAAAGTTGTTAAGAAGTTATTAAAAAAAAAACAAAAAGAAAAAAAAGAAAAAAAATAAATAATAAAATAACACCAGAGAACCACCCGCACCAAAGAATTAAATGCACTTACCTGTAGAATAGGGTAGTTTCCTTTTAAAATAACTAACAAATTTTTAAGACTCCTTAACTGGGAGTTCTAAGGAGTATATCCCGACGATAAATTTTACTTAAATCATGAAGACCCCAAAACTCAATGCCTCTAAAAACATATGTTCGATGACAAGCAGCCACAAAGAATACTGATAGCGGTATTAACGTAAATGTCTTCTATCGATTTCAAGATTCTATTACAGTGTTACGTTAAAATATACTAATACACGTACCTTAATTTTTGTATCTTCTGAATTTCCTTTGTTTAATTGTCTTTCAATATCATGCCATTGTGATATCTCCATTGCAATTTTTTCTGTGATTTTATGTAGGCCTAATGTATTGTATTATTTGAATTAATATAGAGCAATTGGAAGGAATTCACACGGATTTGCCAACTCCTAATCCAAATTAGCATTGCCGTTTTGTTTTTAGCGTGGATATATTGCTTTACGCTTGTCTCCCCAAAGCAAAATATATATAAAAAAAAGTCTACTTCCAAAAAGTGAAAAGTTTGTAGCCTAGATTTGTTATTTATATCATTACTTACCCATAAAAATAGTCGTGACCTCGGGTGACAATCTGAGTACAGAAAGTTAATCATAGGAGTAGAAATATTTGGTAGATTTAGGCAGTGGCGTACCAGGGTCTAGGTGAAGGTTCTAGCCTATGGCAGCTGTTAATTAATAATCATGCCTTTTTTTCAGATTTTATTCCTACTCAAATTTAAGTGACAACATTATTAGAACAATGCCTGTTATAAAATTTATTCAGTCCAGTTATTAAATATATTTCATTTCTTTTTTGGATTTTACATATACATATGGTTAGCACATATTGTAAAATAGGCCGAAATTATCACTACCTGTGGGGACGTCGAAAGGATCTTTGCCTCCGAGTGCTGTATACGTGAAGCCGAAATTCTCCGATGATGGCCTTTCCCTTTATTTTAATATGGTGATGTCGTAAATATCAAATCATAATGAGTAAATTTAAATAGATAAGGAGACATGTAGTTTCACAATAATCAACCGGTAGATGACAATAAACTCAACAAATCAACTTTAATCCCTTTTAAAAAGGAAATGATATATTTCAAACCTGTCCGGTTGTCGTAAATACTATACGACCCATTTCATTCACACATGGTCGGAAATTTTAAGAAATGACTCAAGAAATGGCATTTATTCATAAACTATGTGTTAGTGTTGGCCTTATTGCTCTTGCACACGCAGCCTATTCAGCAACACAGCGTAAGACACTTATTCAGATATATTTATAGGCCTAATTACAGTTTACTAAAATTAGTAATATGATGCTACCAGGGTATGAAATAAGTCTCTTAGTTATGGTAACCTCAAAATAGGTTACGCTAATCTGCACCAAATTTGAAATGGTAACCTATAGGTTACAATGCATCAATTTGCTGCCATATTTGTTTAGAGCCGACCCTCGAATTAGCCTAGGGGGATTTGGGGCCAATTAAAAGATTAGCCAGCTACCCCTAAGTTTATTAAATCAGCAGGGCCCATATCCCTAAGCCAATTTAGTGGATTATTGTTAATCCTAATATTAGGGGTTTCAGGTCAAAGTTTCAAATGACAGAAAAAATTTTATTAAAAATATTTTGTGAAAATATACATAAAATGCTACCCAAATTTTTTTATTTCATCAAAATATTCTAATTAGATCCAAAGTTATGGAATTTTAAAATCCGAGATCGACGTCAATAATGTAATCAAAATGCTCTATACCAGTCAATGCGTGGCATGGCACCAAAATAAGTGCTTTTCAGTCATATTTGAGTGACGTCATAAGCGGTATTTTCCCTTCAGAATCGCTAGTACCAATTTTAAAACTGAAATCCGCACGTTATTGTCAGCTAAAATTTATTAAAATCGTAATAATTTGAATGATAATATGTCAAATATTTATAATCTGGATGATACCTCAAGAAAGTTTTTTTATAGTTAGTCGAAATTTGGCAATTTTCAGTCATCAAAACAGATAAATCCCATTTTCTACGGGTCTACTTGTCCGATCACGTGGTATCAACAACCATAATAACCACAAAACTGTTATCTATCGTTTGATTGGTTCTATATCAAAATCCCCCGGTAACTAAGCTGCGGATTCACCAATGAAGTGAGTCGTAGCAATGGAAAATCTCAGGCCGTATGACGTCAGAGCGGTATTTTCCCGCGAGCGTCTCATGTAAACAAACGGTAATTTCGCTTACATTTCGATAATTTTTTAGCCTGAATCTTTGCAGATATTGAGATTGATATTAAACTATTCCAATACAATTGCTAGTAATGCATTTACATAAAAAAGTAATTCAGAATCGTAGATTGAAGTGGGCTATATTTCAGTCGCTGGCTGTCCGATTTCACGCTAAAGTCACGTGACCTGAAACCCCTACTAATATAGGGCCTACTCTCTACAAAATTGCAAATAACTAAAAAAAAAAATTTTTTATACAAAAATGTACAGATTGTCGTGTTCTTTCCAATGATATAAAATTCAATTGACAAAGTAACAATTATATTACTATAAATAATATTGAAAGGTCAGTTCCACTAAAATTATGACTTTTCTCTGTCATAATAAACGTGAACATGTATCTCCTAAGATTTTTTTTTTTTAAAAAAAGAACAGTGTTCAAAGTAAATATAAATATAACTTTTAAAAAGAAATATCGCCCCAAATGACCGTCACTTCATCGCTATCGGCATTTGACATTTCTGCCTTTCTTCATTGCATCGAAAATAAAAATATATAGGGCCTAGTTGAAATCTTCGACAATGTAATATTCCTCTATGTAGCTTATATTAAATCCTAAAAGTTTTGATTCAATTTAGCTTTCCAAACTCTAGAATTATTATCCGTAAGTTTTGTGGTATCGTCTGTCGGGAAACGTATCCAAGATATGGCGGCCGACAAGCTTGATCTCGACTGCTTCGCATCATAACATCCCCCAAAAATATAAATAGCTGATTTCTTCGACATTATCATGTTCTACGATATGCCTGGCAGTAAATCATAAAAAATCTGATTCCATTTCACTTTCCATGTCATAAAATTATAAGCCGTAAGTGGCAACGTGAAAATATTGGAATAATGCCAAAGTCATTGACACGGTGTGAATTTTTACCTATGACCTATTACGTAAATACCGGAAGATCCTTTGTTGAAAAGTAGGTTTTTTATTTGATAATTTGCGAATATAACATTCCTTTTCATTGGGTGTTTTATTTTTATTACTCAATCACCATTAATTTAAGAAATAAAAACAATAGAAATCAGTTGATTGATCTGGCGCTTTCGTTCGCTAAATAGGCTAATGACATTGCCATGTATGATGGGTCCGCGAGTTGATTTGCTACTACCAAATGACAGGTGCGAACTTAAGGATCTTTCAGGTATTTATTTATAATTGTAATATGTTTTAATGTAGGAGTGGAGGGAATATTTTAACTGAAACCTTTAGTTTATAAATTATAGCTCGGTGGTCGAGGACGGAAATCTGTTCGCGTGTTTCCGGGTCATGGTAACCGATGCGTAACCTGAACGACCGTTCTCGTGTTATTTCGTACCCTGGCTACTCTGTTGTCACTTTGTCAGTGATAGTTACGTACCATACTACGTAGGGTAGTTCAGCTCTGAACGTAGGTCTCATTATACTCACCCTGTACATTCAGGAACAGTCCTATTGAATCCTTGGCGAAACTGAAATCGCTTCCCAGTCAATTTTACTGCTAAACGATGAGTGTCAATCCGTGTGAACGCCTTACAATGTAAATTAACATCTCAGTGAGAAAATAAGACCTTGCTTACCTAAATCTCGTCTATCTTATAATATATGGCCGAGTTCGTAAATTTGTGTGTTACCCTAAATGTAGATTTCAATGAAGTCGGTTAGAAGATGGAGACATATTTTTTAACAGCATATTGTGTCGCTCATACTGACTCTAGCGAGCTAAGCAAGGTCTTATTTTCTCACTGAGATGTTCTTTACATTGTACAGGCTTTCACACGGATTGACACCCCACCGTTTAGCAGTAAAAAGTTACCCAGTAAAATTGACTGGGAAGAGATTTCAGTTTCGCCAAGGATTCAATATGACGGTTCCTGAATGTTTAGGGCGAGTGTTATGAGACCTACGTTCAGAGCTGAACTATACCTTGGGGTGCGGGTTAGATAAGAAATCTCATCTCTCAACCCTGTGTGTTTCGAGATAAGAGATGGTGCTATAGAGTTTCAAGTGGCAAACCCCCAACGCTAATCACATCAAGATTCAAATAAGCAAAATTGACAATTTTTTCTTCACAACAAGAGAACAACGATTGATTATTGTTATTTATAACATTAGCAATGCAAAAGCTTTTTTAAATTTTTGAGTCTGACTAAAATTGAATATACTTGTTTTCTAACCCCTCCCCCATTTAAGAAACCCAAAACAATTTCAAAATCGATTAAGAAATAAGAATGTTCTTGCACTTTTATGACCCAAAATTGATCGATTTCAGTATACACTTTTTTTTTAAATTTGCAAAAAAAGTGACCAAAGACAGTTTCTCAGCAACCATTAAACATATAGGCATCAAATTTTCAGGAAACATCCATCCAAGCATTAACTATTTATTGAAATTTTTAATTTTGGGCTATATAATTTATTTCCTTCGATATAGGAGTCTTTCTATGAGAAAATACGTTTACTTTCAGTGACGAGCGTCGTTTTTGCCTTTTCCTGATAATTTATTTTTTCAAAATATAAGAAATAAGTCGTAAATACGTTTCTGAATGTCTAAACCACGCTTGACACAAACTCTGTTTTCATCTTAATACGAAACGCACAAAGTCGTCGATGTTGGTGTTCATACAACTTCCCGAAGTCGCGGAACAAAAATGACACATTTTACGGTCAGTTTTTTTGACATTGATAAAAATAGTATCAGTGGCGCATCTAGCGAACTTTTACATTGCTAATAACATTTCTGACACATCCAACTACAATTAAGCAGAAAATCCTACCTGACAAGGGTACAATAGATTGCTTTCTCCGACATTTTAAAGTTACGTCTTTAACACATAAAGGCGGGGCCTTGTGTACAGTAGCCAATCAAAGTACTAACCTGATCTGAGTTGCGCAGGGGTACCGTAATACATCGTAGTTATGATTGCTCGTATTAATTTTAATAAAAACAATGCTTGATTTACTTTATTGTCAATATTTGCTGATAAATGAAAGTTGTTTCAGTAGACTGGGCTGTGTATGTGTAATAAGTTCTAATAGTATGAAATTAACTTATTTTTAAGATGTTACATATACATTAACAAAGAAATTAAGTTTGCCACTAAAGGCACCCAATTGTAGCTAAAATCAAGCACATCAGATGTATATCTCAACGTTTTTAGCTACGTTCTCGTAGCTAGGTGCGGGTCAGTTCATCCCACGACCGTTTCACCTTGGGCTGTTTCAACCCAACCTATTTTTTTTTTTCAGGCTGTTTCATCCCCCTTGTGATTAGAACAGCAGTTAATTAACAGTTAAATGAGTTGTACTTAGGCCGCGGTTAATTAATTGTTTGTTTCTCATGACCCGCCTGCATGTCTTTTTTCATCCGTAATAATTACGCACTTCCATAATTATTTGGTCAAATTTAGCAAGGTCACAAATTCGTCCTGTAAGACTATATTTGTTTGCCTTTAAATATGAACAATGAATTCACGCATTAAAATCGACTGTTTATCGATAAAAATGACACTAGGTGATAAGTAAAGTATGCTAGAATGTGGAAAAAAAATATGTAATGTAATGTACGTGAAACAGGAAGTTTAAAAAGCTGTATCATATCTGTCATTATAACCAAGGAATGGTTGCTGCAGCATTTTCTTTCACCAAAGATGACATACATACTTCATAAGGCACTTGTCATATGTAATTAAATTCATGGAAAGATATAAATGTCTTTAAATACCTGCTAAAATATTTTATTTACATGACTAGCACTCTGTGACAAATGTTTGGTTCCAAACCTCCGCCATGAGATAGCTTCGAACATGAGGTACCGGCTGATTGACACTACATGTACTTTAGAGTATTTTATTAACCATAACACTCTATAGACACAGTCTCAAAAGGACACAAAGGTACTAATAAATGTGATAGACAAAATTATAAAAGTATTTATATTATCACAATGCCATGTGCCGATGGGGTCAAAATTGAAGACAATTAACACACATATGTAATAAATTCTTTGGACTGAGACGTTGATAATCTAACTTCTGTTGTATCAAAAATCCAAAGGTATGCTTTTAAATATTTGTCAGAACAAACCATCAACCTGATTGGAACAGGTCATTTTGTAAACCTGTCAAAGTACGGAAAGATCATGAAGAAATGAAATGCCAAGAATGAATGAATTAACGAACGGTTAACTTAGAAGCATACCACTAATAATTTAGACCTATCATTATGATCAAGTTTCCGATGCCCGGCTATTGTGTACCACTAGTACCAGATATTTTAATCTATAAAAATGTAAATAAATTGTGAACGCCGGTTACCGTTGGGGTTTCAATGACCAAGTAACTAACATTAGTTATTGCTGAAATAGACACAGCAATAAACTCAAAAATTTTAAATTCCATCGCATTAATTAATAATTACCTCATGTAGCATGTATATTTGACAAACACAGGTCATGAGAAACCAACAATTAATTAACTGCGGCCTTATTGTTAAATAAACTGTTAAACACTTATTTATTGTTAAATAAACACGTAATGCAAGACTTGCCACAAAGATGCGAACCATCATTTGCCCGCAGACTTGTTTTTCCGCGAGTAGATAGTCGCTCGCGCACATCGTTCAAAGGATAGTTGTTACCGTACCAAACTTGTTGCCTTTTTGGTCAATATTTATACGTTTTTACAAATCAATATATTTTTTTATTAAATTACAGCGCATTAATTACTTGTTGATTAAAGGGACAATAACACTCTTGCTGGCTTGAAAGCTCCAGAAAATAAATAATATCTCTATCTAAGTACTAGATGTTTAAGTGTCCTACCTGTTGTGTAAATTAACCATTACATCCTATTTTACTTGTCCAGAGGGTTCGAAAATATTTTTAAATCGAAGTTTCATTTGAAAATGTTTACGTTAGACGTTTCAAACCATTATGTTGGAGTTTTCAAATTTTTTAAATAAGGTGTGTTAAGATGAAATTTGTATCATCAATTAATTGGAATACTGTAAAATAGTACAATTTGTTGACCAGAATAAAGATTGGGACATATTATTCAGTTACAACAAGAGTGGTATTGAGCCTTTAAGAATAAGAAGTCAATCAACATACTTATCGACTACAATAACAGTCATACCATGTGGTTCATAATCTGAGTAATTAGCACATTTAACGGTAATTTGATAATATGGTAAAAATAACCCAAACAATCATTCCGATTTTTCATAAATGATCCAGTAAGTTGCCTTTTGAGCTAATAAGCCACGTGGCTAATGAAGACGTTCTCGGCATTGTGAATCTTGGGATTTGCGCCGTGTTCAACGCTTGATCTGTACGAATTCCAGGTAGATATTAAAATAATAATTGGATCATGCATTTAATCGGTTTCGGTTTCACTGACCCAGTTGTTAGTTAAATTTAAATGTCCATTGAATATAATCCACTAATAGAACACCGAATACACAGAGAAATAATATTTTTTTCCAACAGAATCTCCAATGCCGAATCCCTATGACACGTGACATGTATGACCAAGTAGTATTTAATACAGCCATTCACCCAATACAGGGCTAGACTTACACCACAACTTGGCTCCCAAGATGGATTATCTATAGTAAGTTATCAATGGTCAGCTATGATAGAGATTAGAGACAATAGTAGTAATGAGATAATCCATCTATAAACATTAGGCAACTTAGTAAATGAATGAATGGATGTCACTTAAATACTACCCATTAACAACTATAAAATATTATTAAGTTTAAATATATATAATTACTATGTATTGTTTATTGTTACCAAGTAACCTCTAGTATATTAGAGGAAAGATTGTAGATCATAGGTAGAACCACACAGGCAGGCAAGGGACATACTGAAGGGCAGGTCTCTGATAAGTTATTTCTTAGATACTGTTCCTTATTAAGTTACTTAGCATGTGGGTCAGTATTATGTATATATATTATCATTGTTAAATATTGTTACAAAATATAAGATTATACTAAGAGAAGTGAGTTATTGAATTATTGTATGTTCAATCGTACACCCCCAACTAGATTGAACATACAACCCATCGTCGCAGGTTGGACCATAAGCAGGTCCCCTAAACCCCGGATGATACATGCATCAGTTGGAATTAGGTCAATAAACCAAGCGATGAATAAAAACTTTGCAAGTTACGTGATAGACAAAAACAAAAATTTGTGTCAAATGTATCAGCTTATTTTGGCAACAGCTTTTTCTGATAAAAAAATCCTAATTTCGATCGACTGATGAACTACTATTACGAAAATTTCGCTTTATGCATAGTCTATAACTCCCTTAATTTCCAATTACACTGACCTGACCCTTAAACTGTACTGTACATACATGTAGCTTAACATATAATAAACCAATTCCCATTGAAATAAAGGTGAAACCTTACCGCATAATTATATGATTTGATTAAACCCAACTGCTATGCGGAATTTCTGTTCATTTTAAAATGGCCGCTGAACCAGAATCATGTGATTTCATTTCACTCGAAAATACAGAAATTGTAACATAATTACTTACTTCCATACAAACTGTGAATGTGATGATATCTGTTGAAAATGTTGCAATTGAACTTAATTTTACTTGCTCAAAGCCTCGAAGAGTGTATCAATTGTAGCCGTAAATAAGAATTATCACGGCTACAAATACATGTATTGCAGCTACTCTTCTAGTTACATTTTGTCCAATTTAATCCATATAATAAAACACATTTCAAATTACAGGGCCCTTATTCACGAAAACTTAAACTAAGATACAATCGAAATTTTAAGAAATACTGCAATTCGATTGGCTGACCAGTAAAATCAATTTGCATATATCCAATTTGCATATTGGTCAGCCAATCGAATTGCAGTATTTCTTAAAATTTCGATTGTATCTTAGTTTAAGTTTTCGTTAATAAGGGCCCAGGTATGAATTCACACTTTTTTTCTTCAGTTCATCTTTTTTTCTTCAGATCATGCTTACCTGCGTCTTACTGAACAAGAATTTGCATGGCTACCATTAGATGTAAGTATAAGTGATTACACTTTTGTTAATATATTTATTTATATTATATACAGATATATGTACGTACAATGTACACTGTACATGTACCATGAATAGCTCTTGAGGTATAATAATGTGTGTTCCTTATTGATATACTTAAACAAAATGTAACAGTTCCACTGAACAGCACATTCTTTATTGCATTAAATGATGGATGGAGCTGATTACTGCAGTGTTTGTCTGAAACATGTTATGAACTTTTATTGTCTTTTTTCCAGATTATTTTACAATGTCTGTTTGGGCTTTCAATAACATATTATGGTATAATAAATATAGCTGGCCAGTTTAAAAGTATTAAAGCTAGTGCTGAAATGGAAACAAAGTAAGTTTCTCCAAACGTCTTTATAATAGTTTTATACTATACTATAAAACGAGAAATTGAGCCTACTGCCTCACAAATTTATGGGGACGCACGACTCAAAATGATTAAAAAATGTAAAAAAAAAAAATCAATTTTAAGATTATGTTTTTTGAGTTTCTTTTGTTGTGTCCTTTATCCGAGGAAATATGTATTTTTTGTCAAATAACTTATTTTTATTGTGAATAAGATCATTACATGGTATGGGGGTGTTGTTTTTCTGTTATATTTGACTGAAAATTCGGAAAAAATATGCTTTTTATACGCCCACATTGAAATGTGGTCGTATATTGTCGTCGCCCCCGTCCGTCCAGCGTCCACAATTGCTTGTGGATGCTCTAGAGGCCAAAGTTACTGCCAGAGTTATGGCCCTTGATCACTTTAAATAAAAAAAATCTTGTGGACGCTCTAGAGGCCAAAGTTAATATCTGATTCACTTTAAATTGAAATTTATACACAGTGTTTTTAAGGTCATGAGGCGAAGAAGCCTATTGATTTTCAGCTATTTCGGATAATTACTGTCAGAGTTTTGGCCCTTGAGGCCAAAGTTAATATCCGATTGACTTTAAATTTATACACAGTGTTTAAGGTCATGAGACGAAGAAGCCTATTGATTTTCGGTGATTTCCGATAATTACTGCCAGAGTTATGGCCCTTGATCACTTCAAAAAATCTTGTGGACGCTCTAGAGGCCAAAGTTAATATCAGATTGACGTTAAATTTATACACAGTGTTTAAGGTCATGAGACGAAGAAGCCTATTGATTTTCAGCGATTTCTGATAATTACTGCCAGAGTTAAGGCTCTTGTTATATTTGACAGAAAATTCGGAAAAAATATGCTTTTTATACGCCCACATTGAAATGTGGTCGTATATTGTCGTCGCCCCCGTCCGTCCAGCGTCCACAATTGCTTGTGGATGCTCTAGAGGCCAAAGTTACTGCCAGAGTTATGGCCCTTGATCACTTTGAAAAATCTTGTGGACGCTCTAGAGGCCAAAGTTAATATCCGATTGACTTCAGATTGATACACAGAGTTTAAGATCTTGAGACGAACAAGTATATTGATTTTCAATGAATTTTTATGTATGGAACAGCTAAATCCATGATACAGTATTAAAAGTTTTGTATACAAAACGTTAGCATGGGGCAGAACTTTATAAAAACCAAACAAATTCTAATGGTTTTCTGAGTTGTTGCTCTTAATCAGATTTTAGTGTATTATAAATGTTTCATTACCGAAAAAAGTAAAAATATGCGACAATTCTTGTTGACTGCCCGGACGATTTAGCTGCTGTGGGCGTATGTTTCGTTGCCTGGCAACCTATCTTTGACATCAATTTTCCAATAAAATCATCCATTGCCTGGATTATTAGGCCTGATAATGCTCCATGCAACCGCCTACCAGCAACCCTGTGTAAGGCCGGTACAGATGATTCGGGAGTTCCACAAGGATCAGTCCTTTGGCCTGTCCTTTATGTAATGTATACTAAGAAATTGGGACAACTAATCGATAAGCATGGTTTCTAGGACGACAATCTTATGCAGATGATACACAGCTGATCACAAGTTATTCCCATTCAAAAATTGTTTCATTTCCTAATTATTCTGACATCAAATTGTGTACACATGACATTAAAGATAGAATGACAAGAAATATGTTGAAATTAAATTTAATTGAATTAAGTAAATCAGAATGTATTTTATGTGGTCAAAATACACATCTGAAAAATACAAGTTCAAATGATGTGGTTGTACAAGATGTAATATTTGTACCATGAGACACTGTGAAGAGGTTAGGTGTCCTCTTGGGGTCCAATTTGAGCATGGACAGTTACATTAGTGAAAATTGGCCATATAAACACTTTATTAGCCAGGAAGCAGCGGCTAAACTTATATGTTCTTTGGTATTCTCAAGGATTGACTACTGTAACAGCTTGTTAGTAGGAACCTCTCGTGCCAATATTAAAAAACATCAACTTGTAGAAAATACTGCAGCTCGAATTCTTACCAGATCACCAAAACACTCTTATATTACTCCTGTTCTGAAATCAATCTATTGGCTGCCAATCATCTTCAAAAGTCTGTCTTTGACGTATCAGTGTGTGAATGGCTTAGCTCAAATATACTTATCTAACTTTATGTACATACAAATTCCCTCGAGTAACCTCCGGCCGAATACACATTTATCACATTCATCAGGTGGAAATTAATATCATTTGGATACGGATCGTGCTCAGTGACTGAGTGAGTGCGCCTAAACTGCGTAAAAATCTTCCAGAGATCATTAAATCATCTCAAACCCTTTCTTGTTTTACATCAAGACTTATCAAGATTAATTAAATTAATTTAATCGTATGCGCAGTGGACATTCTTCTGTACATGGAGTACGTGCGCTATATAAATGTACATATTAATAATATTATTATTATTCGTCAGGCCGAAGTTAGATTTGCACTTTCGTTTAATCTGGGGTCTTCCCTAAAACTTTGGACAGTGATTTAAGGTATTAAAAACGGTGAAAGTATTGTTCGTCTCCAAATAGTATTGTTTACATTGTAGCCATGTGGATAGCCTCGTTTGTCACGCAATTAGTTTTTCTGCAATATTCTGCTATGCACTGGTTAATTGGGCGTAATAAATTTCGTGAATCATGACGTAATGTTATGTTAACATAATTGAAACTCTGTTTAAACCAGAATTATATTGTTACACAGTTAGGTATTGGTTGTTAATAGGACTATTGACCAATCATAATTTGGAACAGAAATTTGCTTTCATTACGGCAGTGTTGAGTGGGATTAGGTCTAATCAAACGAAACACTGCGGGGAGTATGCTAAAATAGTGACCTTACGGTCATATACAATTTGTTTTTTGTCTTTTTGAAATATCGCTTGATTCGTTTGTCAAGTATAGACAGATATATATGTGACTACTACACTATTTAGTTTTTACGATTTGCTGTTCAAAAATTCATAATCCTTCTACTAGATCATGAGGTTATATTGCCGAATTAATAAAATGTTGACAAATAGTCTAGAGAGATTAATTGTATTTACCAAGAACAGCTCTTTTGGCATTTACAGTAAATTAAGCTTTTCAAATTGTGAGCTCCATTTTCGTGATTAGATACTTATTGGATAGATAGATAAATAGATAGATAACGCTAGATAGATAGATTGATAGATAGTAATAAGTATTAACATATAGATAGTAATAAGTATTAACATATAGATAGTAATAAGTATTAACATATAGATAGTAATAAGTATTAACATTTGTAGTTTTGAATGGAACATTTTTTAAACTTGAATTTTTTGATGAAATTATATAATCTGCGTTTATATTTATTTGTTTATTTCTATTTTTATTATGGCTTGCTCTTAACGGAACTGGAAACCAAGTTAATTTGGTTTCAAGTGCCATGTTACACTTTTGACTGTGTAAATAAAGCGGTTTATTTTTCGTCATTTTTGTTAAAAATCGTTATTTTTATACAAAAATGGAAATTATTTACTACTAAATGGGTCGAGTGCCACTCAATTTTTTTCTTGATCTTAATACTATAGATCATTGTCTTTTCAGTCAGCTTTCCAAAAAAATACTTAAACCCGCAGTGGGTGAGATATAGATAGAATAAAATGACATACCTAAATTGAGCTATTTTGGTACCTTGCATCACGAAGTCCCTATACCACAAACCCCTCAATGAAAGTCTATCAAACTTTCAGAATGTATATTCCCTAACCATATCTGCTACGCTATTAAGTTTCATTAATCTACTCGCCGTAGTTTAGTTAGTTAGATTGATCTAAAATTGTGGCAGTGGGGTTTGGAGGGGTTACCCATCATACATAAAAAAAATGGTGAAAATCGGTCACCCACCATGTGCCGGTCCCTGCATGGTTCTCTCGCAAATGCATTCTTAAGATGTCAAACCTGTGTGTCATTTGAGAGTTAACTTGTTAGACTGTTTATCTCTTGATAATTAACCCCTTCATAACCACCTGTGCCATGTCAGTATTTGTTTACTTTTCAGAACCTGGGAAATGCTCAGTAATCGCCAGTCATTTTATACCTTCCATCATCGAGGTAAAGCTCTATATGGAGACAGAGAACGAGTTGAACTGGAGTGAAAGTGTTGTGTGCAATCAAACTTTTCAATATTTATACAAGTGAAAGAAAACTCTGGAAATAAGCAGATTCTTTTGTGTTGAGGTTGATGGAACCTGTAGAGTGAATCAAGTCGAGCATTACCACAAAATTTGAGTGCGGCCTGAAATCTATTAGTTTGTACAATTGCAAGACAATATCTTCTAATGAGAATAACCATCAGCTCATACATTTAATTTTGCTTACTAATAATTGAAATCTGTAAAACCTGAAGAATGTATATTATGTTTACATTTTGTGGGCAGTTATTTTAAACATCAAAATGACTCATTTTTTCAAATAAATCATTAGGGAAATGGTGAAATTTTATTTTTGTCATAAGCATGGTGTATATATATATATATATATAACTACATGTATATTAATTCCATTCCAAAGGGCCACTAAAGCCTTTTTTCCTCTCCTCTTAAACTTAGGTATGTCTCTCTCATGGATTAGAGAACATGAAATTTATAGAAAAAGAATTCCTTCTTTACACTTGCCGGAGTATTTTTATAAATAATTCAGAGTATAATATATGCAAGTGGTGGCTAATCTGTCATTTATTATTACCTTGATATATGTTTTTTGTATAGTAAAGTTAGATCTACAAAGTTATAATACATGTATGTCCATTGACAAATAAAATGTTGTTATGATCTAGTTTTCTGTGGGGGTGATTGAATGGATTTGAAAATGGGTATTTGAATGTGAACATGTATATGAACAATATTTTGAGTGTGAATTGTAAATGATATCAAATAACACTTTATGCCACATGTTTTATTTGAATAACCATGTGTATGTGTCTCTTTAGATATTTAATATGTACAGGTTTATCAAAAACAATACATTTTTAAACCTATGGCTCAGAACGATTGCTTACAATAGTTGTCTATGAGACATCATGTTCATTGAAGGAATTTTTATCTAAAATATATAATTGTAAATTTAGTAAAAATATTTATAGAAAGTGTCAATTTATTGTCATTTAAAAATAAAATTATCAAGTGAAGAATTTGTTTCTGTTATCTTGTACCTTTTATTTAAATGATCTAGTTGTTCGTATGTTACAAAAAGGTAGGTTGCTAGGCAACGAAACATACACCCACAGCAGCTAAATCGCATATTTTATTTGTCGGTAATGAAACATTTATAATACACTAAAATCTGATTAAGAGTAACAACTCGGTAATTATCAGAAAATCATTAGAATTTGTTTGGCCCAAGTTACCAAATATCATTGAAAAAAAAATCATTATACTTGTTCGTCTCAAGACCTTAAACTCTGTATCAATCGAAACAAATAAATATATATATATATGGTCTCTAAATAGGTTTCTTCGTCTGATGACCTTAACTTGAGCCTCTAGAGCGTCCACAAGGACGGGGGTGATGACAATATACAACTGATTTTACAACCACATTTCAGTGTGGGAGTATAAAAACGATGTCAAGTGTACACGTTAGCTTAAAACAATAGGCTGTAGTGCCAATGTCAAATTTCCCTCATAGAACACTGTATGGCATATCCCGACTTCATTAGCTCTGATGGGGCAGAAAAATAGGTTGTTAAATTTTGCTTTATTTGTCAATCAGTCAAAACACATGATTAACATGGTAAACAGAATACATACCAGTACTTGTGAAGTTCCACATGTACAATTGCCAATCTTTACAATCTCTGGAAGGCATGCTTCCTTTGTTCTTTTTTTATCCTTCAACTTTACTTGGGGACTACTACCCAAACCCGATCATGATGGCTTTGAGTGACCACAATATCAATATAAACCAGCTTTGGGACTGATGTCAACTACCTCAATTCCAATATTAATAGATGGCACTCATTAATTACTAGCACTTTTATGTGTGTTCGAGAGCACAACATTAATATAGACACTATCCTAATGAAATCGCCTCACAAGTTCAATATTTCATTGAGTATAAATAATGTACGATTACACGTTTCCCATTATTTGAAATAACAGTACGCCAATCGTCAAGGGATGACGTCCGACGGTCTAGAGGCTAAAGTGATTATCCGACTGACTTTTATACACATTGTTTAAGGTCATGAGACGAAGACGCCTATTGATTTTCAGTGATTTCCGATAAAGTTAATATCCGATTGACTTTAAATTTATACACAGTGTTTATGGTCAGGAGATAAGAAGCCTATTGATTTTAAATGATATCCGATAATTACTGCCAGAGTTATGGTCATTGATCACTTTGAAGTATCTTGTGGACGCTCTAGAGGCTAAAGTTTAATATCAGATTCACTGAAGATTTTCGGCTAATTACTTAATGAGTTGTTACTTTTAATCAGATTTTAGTGTATTATAAATGTTTCATTACTGACAATAGAAAAAATATGCGACAACTCTTGTTGACTGCTCGGACAAATTACCTGCTGTGGGCCTATGTTTCGTTGCCTGGCAACCTATCTTTATAAATGAAATGGTGTTTAACGCCCTACTCCGAACTGGGCTAATAAAGATGGGCATATGCCATACAATGTGCTATGAGACAAATTTTGCACAGACAGCGGCACTACAACCTACTCTTCTATCGAATTCCACCTGTTTTTCGTCCCATCCGAACGACTAGACAGCTGTCCTTGTCAGGCCCTCCGTCCTGCATCACTAACAAGGGAGATCCACGCCGAACTTTTTATTAAGTATAGAACATTTAAAACCAGCGGTTGCCAGGCAGGATACGCCCACATTTTGCAAGAGATCCATAAAGAACAAGCTAAAAACAAAAACGATTATTTGTACAATCAGGTGCCATAATCCAGAAAGTTATGGTCTGAAATATAAAGATATGTTTTAATAAGTATCATCAAAATCTAAAAACCAGCGGCTGCCAGGCAGGATACGCCCACATTTTCTAGAGATGGATAGAGAACAAGCTAACAAGAAAGTGATTTTTCCTACTATCAAGGGCCATAATTCAGGAAATTACAATTCAATATACGCGAATATCAAAAGGAACTGAGATCTTTGTTATAAACTTACATAAAGCTAAAAAGAAAGTGATTTTTCCTACAATCAAGGGCCATAATTCAGGAAATTACAATTCGATATGTGCAAATATCGAAAGGAACCAAAATCTTTGGGTTATAAACTTACATTTCAAGTTTCAACAAAATCGGATAAAAATTGTGACCTCTAGGGTCCACAACCTTGATATACCATATTTTTAAGCTATTTGAGAACGAGGGGCGGCCATTTTGTCTGTCAGTTTTGGGCCGATTTTCACGAAATTCAAACTTAGCCGTCCTTAGGGTGTAACGGTGATATGTTTTTTTAAATCGGATAAAAATTATGACCTCTATAGGGTCCACAAGCTAAAAACACGATTTTTCGTACAATCAGGGGCCATAATTCAGGAAGTTACGGTCCGATATGCGCAAATATCGAAAAGAACCGAGATCTTTGGGTTATAAACTTACATTTCAAGTTTCAACAAAATCGGATCAAAATTGTGACCTCTATAGGGTCCACAACCTTGATATACCATATTTTTATGCTATTTGAGAACGAACGGCGGCCATTTTGTCTGTCAATTTTGGGCCGATTTTCACGAAATTTGAACTCAGTCGTCCTTATGGTGTAACGGTGATCTAATAATACGTTTTTTTAAATCGGATAAAAATTTTGACCTCTATAGGGTCCACAAGCTAAAAATGCCAATTTGTACAATCAGGGGCCATAATTCAGGAAGTTACGGTCCGATATGCGCGAATATCGAAATGAACCGAGATCTTTGGGTTATAAGCTTACATTTCAAGTTTCAACAAAATCGGATAAAAATTGTGACCTCTATAGGGTCCACAACCTTGATATACCATATTTTTACGCTATTTGAGAACGAAACGCAGCCATTTTGTCTGTCAATTTTAGGCCAATTTTCACGAAATTCGAACTCAGTCGTCCTTATGGTGTAACGGTGATATAATAATACGTTTTTTTAAATCGGATAAAAATTATGACCTCTATAGGGTCCACAAGCTAAAAACGCGATTTTTCGTACAATCAGGGGCCATAATTCAGGAAGTTACGGTCCGATATGCGCGATTATCGAAAGGAACCGAGATCTTTGGGTTATAAACTTACATTTCAAGATTCAACAAAATCGGATAAAAATTGTGACCTCTATAGGGTCCACAACCTTGATATACCATATTTTTACGCTATTTGAGAACGAACCGCTGCCATTTTGTCTGTCAATTTTAGGCCAATTTTCACGAAAATCGAACTCAGTCATCCTTATGGTGTAACGGTGATATAATAATACGTTTTTTTAAATCGGATAAAAATTGTGACCTCTATAGGTTCCACAAGCCAAAAACGTGATTTTTCGTACAAACAGGGGTCATAATTCATGAAGTTTCGATCCGATACATGCCAATATCGAAAGCAGCCGAGATCTTTTGGAGATACACCTATATTTCAAGTTTCGTTAAAATCGGAAAAGAATTGTGACCTGTAGAGTGTCCACAAACAAATTGTGGACGGACAGGGGCGACGGCATAATGCGTCCACATGAAAATGTGGGTGTATAGAAATGCTTATCACAGAACTTAGTTGAGGTATCTATATATATATTTGTGACTGTCGTTTGTCTGTTCGGGGTTGGCGGCTACACTAGGTCTGCCCCGAGTCTGAAATTTGGGGTATAGGGCACTCGGCAAACCTCAACAGATTCCAGTACCCTACATCTAATCTCGGCTGTATAACAAAGTCCGCCATTAGAACTACTTTCAAGTTCCCGGATTACAATGGCTTTGTCTTTCAAGTTTATCCGATTTTCTTTAGACAAGGACAAATTTGCACTGAAAATTCTTCGAACGACGCAATTTTGAGAACTTCTTTCTAAACGCGGGCAAGTTTCCCTTATAAGTAAACTGGTGCCGCATCGCAAATGTATAGGCGTAGGTACATATCACTTACTGTCACACAGCCGAGGCTAGATGTAGGATACCGGAATCTGCCGAGGTTTGCTGAGTGGGGTATAGGGGTAGCTCGGACCGGGGAGTAACATAGGCCAGGTGGCGTTAGTCTACCACTTCCGGTTTCGGAGTTATGACCCCCGAGCGAAGCCGGGTATCCTGCTAGTAATGGATATACTACTTCTGAATTTTACATTTCAATACACATACAGGTATCGTTATCAAGTTTCGTCAAAATTGGATAAAAATTGTGACCTGTGGAGTGTCCACAATCAAATTGTGGACGGACAGCGGCGACGACGACAAGATACGTCCACATGAAAATGTGGGTGTATAGAAATGCTTATCACAGAACTTAGTTGAGGTATTTATGTAATGATTGAAACTATAACCAATGTTCATCACTCTCATACAATTAGAATCAGAGTAATCATGTTCCAAAGCATTGATAAATCAAATTGTTAATTTCTGCTTAGCCTAAGCAGCAAACGCTCATCAGCAAACTTAATCAAAACATCTGTACACAAAATTTGAACATTCACCTCAATTTAATAGAAGCAGATTTGGTTATTGTTTTCCAAATGGTGTGATAATCAGTTGAACCCATTTTAATAGTCCAGTTTTCTCCGAAAATTAGGAGCTGAAAGTGGGACAATAAAAAGGTGTGGATGAACATTTATATTCAGAGAGTCATTTCAGTTACTTTGGGAAAATTTGCTCCTTCTGTAAGCAAGTACCGTAGCACATATTCCATTATATGACCCAAGAATCTAAATCTAAGATTCACATAAGCCTTGGAATTTGATTTAATTGAAGACTGACAAACACTGTTATTGACTTGTGAAAGAAACAGAATGGATTCTAAAGTTGGAAAGAATCTAAATTTAGATAAACATCAAACAGGTCCTTGATTGAAAATGAACAAATTGCAGATATTTTGAATCTTTATTTTCTCATTCACTGACAAAAGATCCACAACAATTATTGTTCAAGAATTTAAATATAGCATTATTCTTGTAAATGTACAAGCCTATATATATATACAACAAAGACATACTAAGAGTATTCTAAATCTTTTAACACCACATATACACAAAGAATATCAACAGATAATGGCATTTCTATAAAACACTAACGGTAAGTAACAATATTGTGATAATTATTGTCAACTCGACTCATAATGTTGGATCTACACTGTCCAGTTTTTGTCAGTAAATCAAGATTTTAAAATTGACCAATTGCTTAGATAACTCTCTATATGTATAAGTTATCCAATGTTCTGAACAAAATGTATAAGTATAAGTTATCCAATGTTCTGAACAAAATTTGACCTGCATTAGAGAGTTATCTAAGCAATTGGATGGATGTGCCTGCTTTCCTTGCAGTTAATAAACTTTACATAAGTCTAGTATTCAAATTCAATATATACCTAACAAAAATGAGTCAAATATTCATTTTAACGATTTCTTAATAAAAATCTCTGGAAACCCCCCCCAAAAAACAAGCCAACAGTGAGGCTGATGTCCCCCGCCGAAATCCCAAAATAACTAGAAGACACATAATAATTAATTGCACATTTATTTTTTTCAAAAGTATCGAGCAATCAAACTATACACTAAGTTTCATCACTCTCTATCAGATAGAATCAAGATTATCTTGTCCCAAAGCATCCACCAATGAAATTGATTAGCTCTGCTTAGCTTTAGCTCGAAATGTTAATCATTGAACTCAGTCAAGACATTCACCTAATGAACATCTACATCAAGTTTAAACATTCTACCTCCATTAAAAGCAGAGTTGTTATGTTCCAAAGTCTTGACTAATCAAATCGCTTATCGCTCCTTAGCCTAAGCAGAAAATTCGCACCTTCGAACTTGCTTATCTCTGCTTACCATCAGCAGACAATGTTCATCATCGAACTCCATCCAGGCATTCAAATAATGAACGCCTACACCAAGTTTGAACATTCTGTCTCAATTAGAAGGAGAGTTAGTGTGTTCCAAAGCCTTGACCAATCAAATTGCTTATCGCTCTGCTTACCATGAGCAGAACATTCTCATTATCGAACTTAGTCAAGGTATTGATGTAATGAAACTATACACTAAGTTTCATCACTCTCACTTAATTAGAACTAAAGTTATCGTGTCCCAAAGCATCAACCAATCAAATTGCTTCTCTCTGCTTACCCTACGCAGAAAATGCTCATCTTCGAACTCCATCAAGGTATTGACCTAATAAACACCTACACCAAGTTTGAACATTCTAGCTCAATTAGAAAGAGTTATTTTGTCCCAAAAAGTATGACAGACAGATAGACAGACGGACGAACGGATGAACCCATTTTAATAGTCCCCTGCTTTCTTCGAAAGGCGGGGGGATAAAAAAATCAGATGAAAACTTAACAATAATTCTCAATAATGTTATTCTGTGCTAGTGTTGTTATTAGTAGTGCCTAAATTTTTCACAATTTTTTTTATATATACAAATGGTACTACAAGAGTACAAGTGAGGTTAATTCTGTGCTAGTTTAGTTATTTCCAAAATTGTTTTCATACAAATGGTATTTTAAAAAAATTTATACAATATAACATGCAAAGATATTAGAAACAAATCTGATGAGATTCTTTCATTGGGGCAATTCACTGATACATACATTATAATTATATATGTAGTCCTAATACGTAAATTACTCGATCATACCAACCAATACTTAATACAAACGTGTGGAAGCATTAATTCATAAAAACACTGCAATCTCTTCAAAATATTCTTAAATCAAGTGATCATTATTACCAGTATTAAATCCGAATTAGTTGAAAGATCGAAAAAGGATGGCAGAAAGAACTAAAACATGGTATTTAATTCCATAATCTTTGGCAATAGGAAGAAAAGAACCAAGACAAAATCCCACCAAACAGACACGTTCTAATCTGTATCGTCAAAACCTATAACCAAATTGGTGACAGACATATGACACAAAGTCAAACAGTAGTCTAACCACCCCCTAGAAATCGAAAGGAATAATTCGGATGATTGGTATGCCAAAACTGATTTGGTCTAGTGAAAGAAGTAAACATAATCTGAAAAATAAAATTTATCAACAAAGCATAAATAAAACATTTAGAAGCTCTAATTTCTTTTAATCATCTTGGGGTGATCTTTCAATTTCTACCATTCATCATGTTATTTAGATACTATAGTCGATTAAACATTTCATGCTTCAAGTCTACATGTTTACAAGTTAATATTATCAAAAATATTTGTTTGTTTATTTCACTGGGTATCTGTTACATTGAGCAACATTCTAAGTCAATTAAATCTTTAGCCAACAACCTTTTGAATTACAGGCAAGAAGATGGCGGCTGGCACATTGATGAGAAACACAAGAATTATCTAATCTGATGACTTTAAACTGAATTCTTGGTTGACTAATCTAGGCATTAAGAGCTACATTCCCAAAGTGTAAGCTGAGGCTAAAAAGAATCTAAGGCCTAATTGCTGGTTGGACATAGGCTTTCAAATCTATCATGGGCATGATTCATCCTCTAAGAGAAAAAATTGCCCTTACAATGGCTAAACGTCCAACAAGAAACAGAATACACAAGTTTACACTGTATACAGTACTGCAACATTCTACACACTCAAAGTTCTGTGCACAATCCACAACAGATCATCTTTTGATCACACGCAGAGGATCGAATCCATGTATATAAAAAATCTTTGTAGTCTTGAATGTCATTCTTGAAAATTACAAATAAAGCCCACATCAGCCTAATTTACTATGGTTGTACAACTGTTAGTCATTGTTATTAATAATCCCAACAATCCTGTCATTATATGCCACTGATTTTGCACCTTAATTCTTTCAAATTTCGAGATACTCTAGTTCAGGTACTGCAGAAAATGAGGAATGCAGCCATATTGTATGTCTAATTTGATAAATGTGATCCTGAACGTACAATTTCTAATAAATATATAACTAAATCATACACATGAATAGCTAATTTTCCTAATAATTTCAGCTAAATAGTAAAATAATCTTTAATGACCTAAAGTATAATACAAAAGTCATTTGCAATCTTCTCAGGTTTGAGAATAGTGACTATACAAATTGAATTCTATCCATTGAGAGACTATTAAAGATACATTAGTTTAGAGTTTAATAAAGAGTTGGCCATTCTTGCTAGAATAATTCAAAAATAGATGATAAAAAAAAAAGAAAATATTGAAAATTTCAGTCAAATTACTTTATTCTGAACGGAGTTGTCACTGATGGAAGTTTAGACTAGAAACAGGCATCAACTGTGTCCGCACCGTCTACCAGAATTGCCGATCATTTGATTGACAGACGATAACTCCACCCACATGTTCTCGATTATCAAGTAACATTCTCTCAATGGCTATGGTTCTCGCTTGGTAAGCCATTTCTTGATTTAATTTTAAATGGACGATTGTTTAAATCAAGGCTGTATTCAAGCCATTCGAGGGTCTAGAGTCGATTTTGAGCTTATCATGTAAATAAATGTCTAGTTAATAATTTCTATAACATCTGAAGTCTGTTAAAGACTTGCAATAGGCAGATTTAGCTCTTGCATAATGTATGTTTAAGTTTGTTTTTATAACTTCATCATACTGCAGTATGTTTTGAGTCCAATACTTTCAGTTGGAGACTGTGTCAACTTAGAAGTTACTGCTTTTTTATGGCTTCTTAATGTTATTACCATGTGAAACATGCTCATGCTTACATATAACAATAATTAGGTCGTGTTATAGTAACAATCACTAGATCCTAAATATTAATATTATAAACAGCAAGGTATCAAAAGACATCAACTGCTGTATCTACCATTTGCATTTTAAACAGTTGACAATCAACTATTTAGAATTTATACCACAGCAGTACATTGTACCACGATTTAATATTATCTCCATATTGCACAATATACAGTAACCGTCCAATTAATAAACAAATTAACAAGCTATTGGAATTTACACATATATAAAAGAGTTATGGCACAATTTATTTTTGATTAAATTGTTGATTTCTATTTTTTGAACACGATCCGATTAATAGAACATTCTCAGGATGATAAAATGTACATTTCAAAACTGTAAAACAAGTACATGTAGAATCTAATATAATCAGAGAGCACTGAGTAATTTGTGTCAATATCAAATACAATTTTATGCATATCCGCATGAAACATTTTTTTAATTAAAAAGTTTCAATATAGCAACAGTGCTTATAATCACACCACTTAATTTTCTGTTAGGGCTAGACTTTGAAATGTAGCTTGGTATCCATATTTTGGGGTCTGGAAGATTATTATCATTATACAATAGTCTCTGCTTATAATTAATTAGTGTTTCTAGAGTTGTAAAATTTCATAATATTTAAGCTCCTTAATCCATGAAGACTGCAGATAGATAAAGATCAAAATCTTACAAAACCAATTGAACATATAGAAATACATGAACAGACCTTGCCGTAATAATCTGACCACACCTAAACGCATCTGAATGACAAATTGGAGAGCAACCTTGCACTTAACTCAAGACATGTTACAGGTCGATGAACTGCATAAGCTCTTCTTCTTGTCATATTGTCTTATCGCAAGATCTGCGAAACACATGTAATGTAAATTTAGCACTATAAATTTATAGATGATTATAGATTAATATGAGTACATGTTGATCTAACTTCTCTCTGTATCACAGTCGTATTACCCCTTTTATATTAAACCATAATACTTCTATAGGTTACATGTAATACATTTGTTGAAATAGAGGTTCCCGATTTCTCGCTCTCAACAATTTCACCGGTAAAAAAAATCCTGAAATGAACTCCTATCACACTTGTCTCTCTTTTTTTTGTGTGGAATTCAATAGGATTTCTTCAACTGTTCATACGTCATAAAGAACTGCACAATAATTAAGGAATATGAACAATTTTAAATGACCAGTTATTCCCTGTATAATCACACCATCTTTCATAACCAGCGGCTGCTAGGCAAGATACGCCCACATTTTGCAAGAGATGGATAGAGAACAAGCCAAAAAAACAAAAAACACGATTTTTCATACAAACAGGGGCCATAATCCAAGAAGTTATGGCCTGAAATGCACGAATATAGAAAGGGACTGAGATCTTCAGGATATAAAGTTTTATCAAAATCAGACAAATATTGTGACCTCTATAGGGTCCACAACCTTTGTATTACATAATTGTACACAATTTGCATACGAAGAGCGGCCATTTTATCCGACAGTTTTGGTTTGATTTTCATGAAATTCGAAATCAACCTTAATTACCGTGTAACGGTGATATACTTGAATGTTGTTTTAAATCGGATAATAATTGTTATCTCTAGAGGGACCACAAGCTAAAAACGCGATTTTTCGGACAATCAGGAGCCACACAATTCAAGAAGTTACTATCCGATATGCGCAAATATTGACAGCTACCAAGATCTTTGGGTTATAAACATGCATTTGAAGTTTCATCAAAATCAGATCAAAATTGTGAGCTCTAAAGGGTCCACAACCTTGATCTATCAATTGTTTACACTATTTGCGTAGACGGGCGGCCATTTGTCTGGCAGTTTTGGTCTGATTTTCATGAAATACTAACTCAACCAACAATACGGTGTATTGGTGACATATTCGAACATTTTTTTTAAATCAAGATAAAAATTGTGACCTCTTGAGGGACCACAAGGTAACAACGTGATTTTTCATATAATCTAGGCCCATAATTCAGTAAGTTACCATCCGCTATGTGGGAATATCGAAAGGAACCAAGATCTTTGAGTTATAAACATGCATTTTAAGTTTCATCAAAATCGGGTGAAAATTGTGACCTTTGAGAGTCCACAACCTTGAAATACCATATTTTTACACTATTAGCGAACGAGGGGCGGCCATTTTGTCCGGCAGTTTTGGTTCGATTTTCACGAAATTCTAACTCAACCATCATTAGAGTGTAACGGTGATATATTCAAACGTTTTTTTTTTAAATTGGATAAAATTTGTTACCTCTAGAGGGGCCACAAGCTTCAAACGCAATTTTTCATACGATCAAGGGCTATAATTCAGGAAGTTACAATCCGATATGCGCAAATATCGAAAGGAACCAAGATCTTTGGGTTATAAACATGTATTTCAAGTTTCATCAAAATCGGATCAAAATTGTGAGCTCTAGAGGGTCCACAACCTTGATATACCATATTTTTTACACTGTTTGTGTTCGAGGGGTGGCCATTTTGTCCGGCAGTTTCTGATTTTCATGAAATTCTAACTTAACAATCATTAAGGTGTAATGGTGATATATTCAAACTTTTTTTTAAATCGCAATAAAATTGTGACCTCCGTAGGGTCCAACCTTGATATACCATATTTTAACACTGTTTGTGTTCGAGGGGTGGCCATTTTGTCCGGCAGTTTCTAATTTTCATGAAATTCTAACTTAACCATCATTAAGGTGTAATGGTGATATATTCAAACTTTTTTTTAAATCGCAATAAAATTGTGACCTCCGTAGGGTCCACAAGCTAAATATCGTGATTTTACGTACAATCAGGGACCATAATCCATGAAGCTACGGTCCGATACATGCCAATATCGAAAGGAACAGAGATCTTAGGGAGATAAACCTATATTTCATGTTTCTTTGAAATCGGATAAAAATTGTGACCTGTAGACTGTTCACAAATAATTGTGGACGGACAGGGGCGACGACATTATACGTCCACATGAAAATGTGGGTGTATAAAAATTCAATGTTTTTGTAAAGTCTTCACACCTGCAAGTGGATATATAGGGTTAGCCATTTGTTTTAAAGGATACAATTATATTCCAAGGACCAAGTCTGAACCAAGTTGGTATAAAACCTTTATATAAAGCCATGGGACCTTCTGTTTTAACAGTCTGAAATAGAATTTATTTGATCAAACTATAAAAGCTGTGATTGCTGTGATTAGCTAACCTTGACTGTTTGACTAGTATGTATTTATATTTTCTCTGATTAGAAACATTATCAATTCTATTGTCAACTACTATGGCATAAAACAGGGATTTCACTGAAACATTTTGTCAGCTGTCAATTTTTGACATATTTGGTTTACTTTGGATTAACAAGACATTTTCCAAGAATATAATTCTTACCATTATTCAATTTTTAAACATATTTCTAAGTGTTTTTACAAATTAAAACTATAATGTTTAAGTGTATTTATTGTGTATTAAGATTTAATTCTAAATTCTACAGCTATTCAATTTCACTGCAAGTCAGTCAAGACTAAACAAAAAAGACTGTAACGACAACCCTGGCATAAAATGTGAACTATTCTTACCTGTACCAAACATTCAAATGATGAAGAGTATATAACTGGTACAACACCACTTCCTACACTAGTAGGTTTTAACTTCTCTTGATTCATCATACGAGTCTGTAAGGAAACAAAAATAGAATACTTATAGACCGATCTCAGAGAGGGTAGGAGGTATATGTATGTATATTTATTAACAGACAAAAATATTATGGTAATTGATGATATCATGGGTTGTTGTGTAATTTGTATTTTTGTGAGAAGGTAATAAATTCACAGCCAGTAAATCAAAGGAAAACCAATTTTAAAATTTAGTGGGTAAAAATGAGGGTAATTATACTGGCAGAGCGAAAAGTATTCAACATGATTTGAGATTATCAGTCGATACTAGGTTTTCATTGCACATGGACAAGAAATAGTCTGGATAACACTTTTCTTTAATTCAAAGGGTAAATGTCATGTTTAAAAGCAATTTGTATGGGTGGGGTTGGTCTATTTACATCACACATGTAATAGGGATGATGATTCTCCATTTTAGAAAAGTACAAAAAATTTTTTGGACATAAATTTACTTCATGTTTGTGATCAAATGTATCAGTCTGTAGAGTTATATCATATGTCATATATTAAAGATACATTATGGGAGATTCGATAACGAGTTGGCAGTTCTCACTATAATAGTTAAAAACTAGATAATGTAAAGGCAATTTGCTGAAAATTTCAGTCAAATTGATCCTCCATGAACTGAGAAAGCAACTGAATTTCCGCCTAGCCTTGATCATCATTACTAAAGTCAGTACGATAACCACCATAGTCTCGATTCTCCATTTAATCGTTAAATCGTGAAGGAAAGTTATGCAGTAAATCGGCTCACAATCCACTAAAGATCGCAGGCTACCGATGCCATCTAGAGTTGATTATGGTCTGGATAGGTTAATTAACACTATACGACTGGAACCGTGGAATCTCGGGTAAATAGCGTTATTATCTAATCTATGTAGAATTATTCATAAATATCATTGAATTTGGCCTAATAGCATTCAATTTGTCCTTGTATACAACTTAAATCTCAACGTGCAATTTTGATTACCAAGCGTTAATTAACTAGTGTTTAGTTTGTCGACACGTGTGTAATTATAAGCATCCCGCTTAATTTTCACGACTGTTCAATAATTAGTTGGAACGTTCATTTTCCCGAGTTGTGATTAAAATTAGTCAAGGTGTCCAATTACGCCAGGTATTCAATTCCGTTGCCGAACATCCAATTTCACATGAATTGGGCGACATTTAAAGTAGATGTATATTGTCACAGCGGAGATTTGTCGCCGATTAACACAGACAGACTAAGAATATAGTCCCAAAAATGGCGCGTTTCTGACCATGTGACTTACCGTTAAGCGCCCCTTGGAGTGGATCGAGTGCTCTATGAATGATTCATTTAGATTAACTGAAGCTGCAAGCTCATCGTATGACGTATATAATTTAAAGTTTGGATTTTATAGCAGCCAATAATTGATGGATTACATCTAAGTTATAGACGAAGATGTAATGATACGTTGTAAAAAAATTGTAAGTTGTTCATTGTTGCATACATTTTGGCCGACGTTATATGCATGTAAAGTGCGTTAGAAAAAAATCCTAACCGATACAGAATGCCGGTAAATGTTTTCCTGAGATTACCGAACTCATTTTGTTGTTATTCAAACCGGCCTGTACATTATACATGTACACGTTTTCACGGCAGCATTACTATATTACAACTCCTTCAATATAAACATTTCGTGCATGTGAAATTGGATGTTCGGCAACAGAATTGAATACCTGGCGTAATTGGACACCTTGACTAATTTTAATCACAAATCGGGAAATTGAACGGTCCAACTAATTATTGAACAGTCGTGAAAATTAAGCGGGACGCTTATAATTACACACGTGTCAACAAACTAAGCACTAGTTAATTAACGCTTGGTAATCAAAATTGCACGTTGAGATTTAAGTTGTATACAAGGACAAATTGAATGCTATTAGGCCAAATTCAAAGATATTTATGAATAATTCTACATAGATTAGATAATAACGCTATTTACCCGAGATTCCACAGTACCAGTCGTATAGTGTAATGTCTAATTCATAATTTAGATAACATTTTACGCCTAAAGAGAGACCTGCAATAGACAGATTTAGCTCTTGCATAATGTATGTTTAATTCAAATTTTAACTGAAAATATCCTCAAATATTTTGTATGAAGACCAGCTCTCAATTTCTAGATGTCATTACGATGTTTCTCATGTTTTTATTTTATGAAAAATCATCACCCATCATACTTGTATGAAGTAAGCAAGAGATGACTGGACATTTTGACCAAACATTACCATCTCACTGATAAATGCATTATGTCAAATATGTGAACATTTTGAAAAGATGTGTTATAAATTTTGTTAATTATACTTTTATTTCATAGATCTCTTAATAAATTTTGTATGATAAAGACAAATATTCTATGGTGAAATAATATAGCCAAAATAATTTGCTAGGGTACCAGGTCTTTTAAGAGCCTCAATCAGTGTTATTTCTTTTGCCAAAAAAATTCATGTGGATGGAGCTGTTTCTAGTGCCAAAATAATTTTCATTGGCCATATAAAAAAAATGTCTTGAGCCTAAATCTTTTTGGACTGAGATTAACTAGTTTTAATGCCAAAATAATTTACTTGGTCTTGAGTCTTTTATAGTGCCAAATAGTATAATGATGATGATGATGAGTGCAGAATATTGTGAATTCCATAAATGACAACTGAAAGTTTATACAATTGTACACTAAAGTTTGAAACTACCATTTCACTCATTTGTTACCGGTATCTTAAATAGCAATTTATTCATTATTTGATTAACAATATAACATGATTTCTGTGACAGCAGGTTGAATTTTTGTCATAAAACGAAGTCATAACATGTTAAATTAATTTCAGTGTGAAAATACATGTGTAATAAGATTAAAAAGTTTAAAGAGATATAGCGTTATTTAGTCACAAATATAGACTTATTTTATCTTCATATAGGACAAGGAGTTCTGGTCAGATGATGAGGGAATGTATTTTAAATTAAAGAATTCATTAGAAATGACAATTCTTTTAACCATTTATTGAACCAAGTGAAATTTTATGCAGAGTTCAGCAGAAATGGTAGTTTCAAAAAACACTAGAGATTGTCACTTTGATAGGAAAACTAACACTTGATAGATTTATCAGCTTGCGACTTAATAAGAGGGGAGACAACTTAACTACACCCACTAAAGAGGGTGCGGGCACAAAAAGTCTCCTCGTGCCTACTGCCATCCCTGTTTTTGTGGGCTTCGTTCGTGTCGGCTTTCTCCGTTTCTTCTCAGATGTCAGACATAAGCTAAACCTTAAAAATCAATCAACCAATCAAAGTAAAAAATAGTGGTCAAAGACCACTTTAATCATTCATAATTTAAATTTAAATTTTAATTTGTTTGTAATAAATAATATAATATAATTAATTTGTGATTTTATGAGTAAATTAAATTTCATAAAATGTATCCAATATGAATCGTAAGGGAAATGTGTTCTCATTCAGAATCCTTGTAATTATCCATTTAGAAAAGGTTTAATAAAACTTTTAATTATATTGGTAATTATCATATAGAGCACGACTACCGTCTAATTCATTTTTATTATCCATATGTTGCCTAAAGTGCATAGCAATGGTTAAATCCATTTTGCTTGCTACTATTTATTTTGTGGGTTATAGATATGTTCCTTGATATATGAAGTTTTAATTACAACCATTGATAAAAGACTAATAATATTACTTCCAAACTACTGAGAAAACTAAAGCTTTGCCCAAACCAATATATTTTATGAGTTGTAATTTATTTTTCCTGATTTCAAGTTTGGATGGAGGAATAAATCTCGAAGGAAAATGCCTTTTAATAAATTCAAATAAAGAAGAAAATGATGTTACTGAACATGCATGCGATAATAAACAAACTATTTTTACAATGAAGAAATTAGGTTCTTTTTGTTTAATATGAGTCTTACACAGGTTGTTAATGATTGAAATAGGATACAATCCTAATAAATTGCAGAGAAAAAAAAACTTTTCTAAATGAGAAACACTTCCCTTTACCCTTCCACAAAAGAAAACAAAAAGTTTTTAACCAAAATTTGAGATTTACATGTAAGTATAACCATGCTTAAAATCAAAATAATAGACCTCAAAAATAGTTTTCTATAATTCATACATTATTCAATACATATATATTTCTAAAGATCAAGGTATGCCATAATTGTTTTTAATGACACAAAATATAATTTACTGTATTTCGAGGAAATTTTAAATTTCAACAGGTACTTGTTATTTTTTACTTCAATGTTACAAAGTCTTTGTAACAAAAGTATAAATACTTGAATCTGCCTGATATAATTGATGATCTGTATCCAAATGCAATGAATTTATGAATGATCCCTTGGGAAAATAACATTCCATTTTAATCATCATCATGGATAGAAAAATTATCATTCTTCAGGTCGGGCAAATAATTGGCAGCATTCCAAAAGTGTATTAAACAAGCTAACAGTGCGGCTGATGTACCTCACCTCCATCCCAAAATAAGCAGATGACATTCATTAAATTACTCATTTATCTTTGTGGAAAGTATGGCACAGTCAACCTACCTATCACTCACTAACCTGAGCTGAATATATTAATTCTTCAACTTAGTCAGAGTACTGATGTAAGGACTATACACATTAGAATCAACAGTTACCATGTTCAAAGGATCAACAAATCAAATTGCTTGTCGCTGCTTCGCCTAAGAGTAAAATGCTGATCATCGAACTAAGTCAATGCATTCACATACTGACATAGGTGTCGAGCCAGGGGGGGCAATCTGACTCTTCGGGCAGACATGTAAAGTGAAAACAAAAATTATAATTTCATCTAGTTAGCAAAATAAAGTGCCTGAAATCTAATAAAACACTAATTTTACTTTTCTTTTAATTGAATACCATGAATCTGTACTGAATTGTTAATGGATTGAAACATTTTGTCTGGAGCCACTCTACTTTGAGCAACATTTTTCGGGCATCGATTATTATTTGTGAATGCAGCCGGAACAGTCTGATTTGATAGTTGTAATTCAAATTGGCATAGAGTGGGATTTCGGTTGCAAACCGATTGGAAACTTTGAAGTTGCTTAATACACGGATTAAAATAGCAGAAATACCCTGCGACGATTGATTGCTTGTTTAGGATTCTGGTAAGTCATTAAGGTAGGCTATACTGGACCACTTTGAAGTTGCTGTATTCATGGGCTGGAATAGCACGAAAACATGTTCACGGGCATTTCAGACTCTGCCCCCCCCCTAACATTCATAGAGCCTGTACGCCTATGCATACGGAAGATCTACACAAAGTCTGGGGAGTCAAAGTGGCTAAGTGGGCAAGATGCTAGATTGGTAGTCTGGAGGTCACATGTTTGATCTGAGAAAGTTGATCGGGATCTTCCATGGTTTACCTATGTCAGTGGTGCAGGATGGAGGGCCTGGCAAAGACAGCTGTCTAGTCGTTCGGATGGGATAAAAAACTCAAGGTCCTGTGTATACATTGGCATGCCCTTAAAAGATCCCTTGGCAGTTGGAATTCGATATAAGAGTAGGCCATAGTGCCGCTGAACATTCTACCTCAGGGTTATTCAGTGACCGCCCTAGACTCTTAAAACCGTTAGCCAAATTTTTAGCCAATTCAAAATTTTATTAGCCAATTCAGAAAGTTTTAGCCAAATATTTTATATCATTTTTATTCATATGTTTGTTAATTAAAAATGAAAATAAATGTGTGTGTGTGTTTGTTGTATTTTACGTCCGCTTCCACCGAGGTGATATCGCGGACAAAATAAATGTTTAATATGTACTTTTATTTTATGATCAGTAGTGGAATATCGCGTTTTATCAGTGAAATAAAAGTGTTATTCCACTGGCTAGTTGTTTTTACCTAAAATGATTGTAAAATCATAAAATAAATAGAACATTTGTCGTTTTGTCGTGAATAACATATTTTATTTCATCTCTAAGCAAGAAAACGTTTATGTTTTCACTCATGCTACGCATTCGTGAAAATATAAGTTTTCTTGCTTCTCGATGAAATAAAATATGTTATTCACTCTAAAACGACAAATATCCTCTATATATAGTACACAAGAATATTATTTTATCTCCTTGTTCATGCAAAAGTTCACATTATTGAGAGAATGAATGCAGATAACAAAAAAATGTTTATAGGACGTACTTCACAGTCAAATGATTTAATTTACTTCATCGTCATAACAGAAAAGACACGACGATTCTTTTTAAGACACCGCTGATTTGAAATTTATGTCCGGTCCATCCATTTTTATAAGCATGAGGTCATTGAGGGTTAGCTCGACGGTCTCGGTTAAAGGTCTAATTTTTGTCCACATGTTGATGAAGCCAACGAAGGACTTGCGTCCGAGATGACACGCTCACTCACGGAAGTAGATTCTGGACTAACAGTAGTCGTAGGAAGGAAAAAGGAATCTATCCTTATTTTGGGTTTACTAGTATTAGTTGTCATTAATGTGCGTTTTATTTATTTGCTGCGTAAGTAAAGAAAACTTGTAGTGAAGCGAATGTAAACAACGCAGTGCCACACAAAAGGGGCGTAACTGTGTTTTATAGTCTCCAGACTCGATCTTTCGGTCGTTTTAATGCGTAATATTGTAACATTGACTGATTTGCGACTTGTAAGATTGAGACTAGAGTAATTAATGTACTAAAAATAGACACTCCATCGAGTCGATCGAAAGAAGCGTTTAACGAGACGATTTCAAGTTTAATATTAGCAGATTTACGAAATAACACTCTCTAAAATTCATTCGCCAAATTTTTCGCCAGTATCATCACTTTATTCGCCAATAAAAATAATTGTCGCCATTGGCGAATTGGCGGATGTCTAGGGCGGTCACTGGTTATTGTGCTCTATAAAGATTGACGGACAGACAAACTCATTTTAATAGTCCCCTCCTTTCTTTGAAAGGTGGAGGACAAATGAAATTGGGTCTCCTTAAAAACAATATATGGCACACAGCGATGTTATAGATGATATTTATATCACAAGATGAATTGGATTTTTATTAACTTTTAAAGAAAAAGTACAGTCAGCCCACATATTTGAATACCTTATATTTATATATCAACGACTTTTCTTCATAACCACAATGACATCTATTCCAAAAATATTTTCTAAAATGCGTTGGAATTTCTACGCTTTAATTCACTGTATTCAACTACCAATTCACGAAATACAATAAGCCATGCAAGAATTTCATTAAGAGACCTTTCAAAACCTTCAAAAGATTTTTATTAGAAAGTACGTCTTGTCAACTGATTTAACATTTCCGTCTAAAATAACAAAGAAGTATACATCTAATAAACATAAATTTTACAGAACAGAGAACATCAAAAGGTAATTTAAGATCCAACTCCATCTTGTGATAATATTTCTTTTGATGATTTATGTCCTGCAGGGATAAAGGCATGTATTAAGATAGACCACATATTTACCTTAACAACATCTATAGGATTTGATGCTACAGCTCCTACAAATCCAGCAAAAAAACTTGCTCTAAAATAAAAAAACATAATTCATTTAATCCCAGCTTGAAGTCAACCATTTTCTTTTCAAACATTTATATCACAAATGTAAATGTAATCCTACAATTTCAAAAGCCGTAGGATTTTACGGTGACAATATAACTTTGATCAGACATTTTATAAAATTTCTAACAATAATAATGATCAGGGCATATTTAAATGATTTACAGTTCATAGCACATATAAATATACAACATGACGACTTACAAGAAATGTGTTTCTTTGGTATCCCCTAGATAACCTGATTTAATAATATGTTTTTTACACATATCATATGCTGGTAATTCTACACCTGCTACTACTGCTGCACGCTGAGCTGTTGGTCCAACTCCCTAAAAATTAATTCAAATGATTAAAGGGTTTTACAAACAAACATTAAACTGATGAAAATACAGTGGACTCTTGCAATTCCAACATTGTACAGGATTGATACAATATGCCGGATTAGACAGCATGTCGAAATACTCAATTGCCTCAATTATACAGGAAGTATTATAAATTGTACCTTTGAATAACTGAAGTTTTATTATAATGCACCCTCAAATACACAGAACCTAAAATATGGTAACGCTTTCTGTACATTCAAAATTTTATTACCTTATATCAAACAATTGCATAACAAGACACAATAACATAACAATTTACTTTGAATATATATAATCATCTAAAGTTGACTAAATACCACTTGTCATCCAAGCCTTGCGATTGGCTGACCAATTGACTGACAGGTTGTGTTTGTCCATGCACTTAAACCACTCTGAATTTTCTTTTTGCTTTAAAATGTTGGATACTGTTGTACGGCCAATTGAATACTTAACGGCTAATTCCTTCTGTGTACGTCATGAAACTTTCTCAAAATTTTCTATAATTTGCTGCTTGACATACAATGTCAAATCTGTATGGGCACGCTTTGCAGGATGATTACATATTATGAACACATTATAATTATGATGATAGTGATTCTTCAACTCGGCAATTAATTTATATACCAACAGATAATAAAATTATCAAGGTAATCAAAGACCAACACATGTTTTATGCTCACAGATAATTAGTGATTGCTTGTCGGTTAACACCCAAGATTGAAGGACGGATTATCCAATGTTAATTGTACGCAAATCGTGTGTCAGAACTGCCGATTCATGTCGTAATTCGGAATATTCAGAATCCGGATTACTCAAAACTTTTTTTTTGTTTTTCGTTGAAGTAATAAGGAAATAAATCGGGACATGAAAATGATAGATTTCACAGAATGCTGTAGTATTCAGATGTCGGAAGTGACAGAGTCCACTGTAGTATATTGTAAATGGATATAATACTAAAACTAAAAATTATATTGTTTTTTCTCTTTATGAACAATGAATAATATTACCATACAAAGTCTGACTAAATAATGATCCAGAAAAATAGGTGAATGTTGTTTCAGTAACGCAAAATATTCTTAAATTGTGCAGCTTGACCACAGAACTTTTAGTTCCTTTATTTATTAACATTCCTATATTATGATAGTAGACCTACCCTCCATAATCCTGCAAGACCTTCAGATTGATATATTTTTATAAAAGAACATAACATAGAATCAGTAGCAGCAGTATGACCACGTGCTTGCATCCGCACCTTTAAAACAAATACAGAATAACTTAAATTATGTTATAATGGAGATAAACAGGTTAAGTGTAAACAATTTATCTAATAAATCAATTCCCGTTCACCTAACAAAACAAGTTTGTTCAGATCTCATTATTTCAACAACTAAGTACAGTAATAAGAACTGTCTACTTCAATTCAATTGTAAAGAGATATTATATAGGTATAATGCTAAAAACAGTGATTACGATATAATTCTATATCATTTACAGAACACGATCAATCCCAGCTTGCTTCCATTAATGTGAAATTTTCTAAAACTAGTTCTATCTTAAGATGAAATTAGATACCTTTAATACATCTGTAGGATTGGCTATTGTACTTGATAATACTCCTGCCACTACTCCACATAATACATTAATAGCTAGTGTTTCATCTGAAATAATACAATAACACATTCATTGCTAATATTTCATCTGAAATAATGAATAAAACATTAATTTAATAGCTAATGTTTCATCTGAAATAATACTAAAAGAATGTGTCATATGAAATACTACATTAATAGGTAGTGCCTACCCCCACCCTCCTTGAATCAATAATTTATTGACACTAATTTCCAGCATAATATCAAAGACGACCTATTAACAATTATATATAAGAATGGCCTACTTTTTGGATCAGCTACAAATAATCTCTTTAAGGAATGGTAAGCTCCTATTTTTATTGTTCCATATGTGGCTTGTCGTAATAATGCTGGGGCTATACTAAAATATCAAATAAAAAAATCATAAAATATATTATCATTTAATACAAAGTCTAGATAAAAATAATATGGGCTTGTTATACACTCATTATACTGAGCAGCAGCCGAGTCCTGATTTGAGCGATATAGGAATCCCTTCCAAATCACAATTAAGTTTTGTTCATTATTCACAAAGATATGATAGACTGAAATTCCATCAATCCATGTTGTTCCCTTCTATTTTGCAAAATCTAACTGTTGGGTCTGTTTATACGATGAAATCCAAGCTGCAAGATTATCTAGCATTGATATTTTGATTTGTTAATGAAATGTTAAATAATCAAACTCAGAACATCTTAATGTGGATCAGAGAGAGAGAGAGAGAGAGAGACAGAGAGAGAGAGAGAGAAATGGGGTTTAAGGTCCACTGACACAAACTAGGTCATTTCGGGACTAACATATGGTTTAATTTTATTTCAATAATTCGCTTGCGCGTAGGGGTCTTCAGCAGTGGGAGGAAACCGGAGGACCTGGAAAAAACCCCACGAGGTTGGACAGGCGACCCTACTCCTTGTCACATACAACTGGGATTCGAAACCACGCCAGTTGACTAAATGACAGGCCTTATGATACAGCACGCAGTGCTAACCATTCGGCCATCCACCCACCCTTAATGTGGATCAAGTCGTGAGAAATTTGATATATGAAAAATGCAGTTACTTTGAAAGTGTGTGCATAATAACCAATGGATAATTTGGATTGGCCCGTTTTATATTTTTGCTATTCATTAATATTCAAGGAGACCCATATACACTATGCGTGACTAAAGGATTAACCTATATCTATAAGTGTGTGAAAACTAGTTCACAAATTTTATTTACATCGGAAGACATCATTTTGTTGATTTTAAATATCAACTATCAAGTATTTTGTACAAGTGATACTTGCTTAGCCGCTACTTACATGTAAGTAGATAAGAGTGCTAAGCAGAAAAGTCTTTATTTTCTGTGTCTTACATGTACAAGGACGTACATCAATGAGGAGCACTTTTTAGAATTTACATGAATTTGTTCATTTATATAACTTGGGAATGAGAACATAGCATTACATATCACTTCTTTATAACACTTGAGACTTTTTATAAAAGATAGCCCCAGGTCATCGCAAAGGATGAGGTGTCAAAATATTTTTTTACCCTGTCACACAAAAAGAGGTAAACCTAGCTGTTAAAAGGCTTTTACATTCTTTAAAAATTTCTCATATTTTTCATGTCTAACAGATTTGACAAACTATCATAATAAAATTGGGGCATACTCAAAAGGCAATTTGTTTAAAGAGAGAGAAATGGGGTTTAACGTCCACTCGACACAAACTAGGTCACTTTGGGACTAACATATGGTTCAATTTCATTTCAATAATTCGCTTGCGTGTAGGGGTCTTTAGCAGTAGGAGGAAACCAGAGGACCCAGAGAAAACCCATTAGACAAAATCTTAGCTGTCAAATCGGTAGACATGCAAGGTATGTCTTCGAATACAACCTTGTTTACCATATTTTCAAGCTAAAAGCTTGATTAACAGACCAGTAACTCAATTCCATTGTCAGCTGGGGAAAGCAATTTGTTTTATATACAAGACAAGAGTCCTACATAGGACTTGTACTTACCCAGAGTATAGAGCATAGAAACCTTCATCTTTAAATATCCTAATTAATGCATGGGACATGCCTCTATATTTTAATTCTGTTAATTTTACATCTATTCTTTGTCCTTGTATTTGAAGACGTGTTTTGGTGGTATCAATTGGAAATGTGCCTTAAATAACAAAAAAAACAAAAAAACATACAATTTCTGTTACAAACACTAGATAATTATGGTACTCATATGACCACTACACCATTTTCTGATCAATGACTATTCTGCATTTCAACAGTTATATGGTCACCATCACAAATTCTTGATCGACTGTGGCGAGTCCTCTTAATGTTACTACATCTCATTATCGTTCAAAATCTTTTGATTATCAATTGTTGATTATTAGAGATGTTAGGGGTTCCATTTATTTTACTTTGCAGATATCGTTCCAAAGTGAATATTCCAAAAACTCTTCACAATTCATTGAGGACAAAAAAGAAATGTTCTGTTTCAGGCAACCCCACTGACCCATTACAAAACCTGCCGACCCTTAAATTTTTTTTAGTGTCAAGAGAAATAAAAAAACTTTTTTGTTCAACGAGCGACCGTTCAGAATACTCGAAGCCTACCGGATTTGTGAAAATGCCTATATTATTTGTTGCTATAAATGAATATAAATGTCATCGTTCTTTGAATTTGCATTTACCGATCGGAATAGGCGGATATACTGTACAGAACGATTATTAAGAACTGCCATACTGTTGACGCGAGATTGCTAACTGACTGAAAATCGAGACAAGTTTCGTATAGATTTACCACTGCACATTTGAAAAGCTATAATCCTCACAACCTTCGTTCTAATAAGTAAAGGCCTGAACAATTCAATTATTTTTATCTACATGTTGATCACAAGTTAGTGTTCAATAATTCTTTGCCATTTTTGATCGCAGAACACAGGGTTATCAATTCCCAACAGAGAGTGGTGTAAATAATTTACTATCTGCTAGAAATAAAGAGTTCTTTTTATTAATGATGCCAGAACTGATGACCATCGTAATGATATATATCTCTCTCTTTCAATATTTCAAGTGAAATAACTTTGTAAACTAAACTTTACAGATAGCGAACAAATGGGCAGTAGGGAGAAACTCTGCACTTACCACATTCTGCTGTCATTGAAGCCAGACCACCATATACAAAGGGTCTCCAATCATTAGGACCCATTGTATTGGTTTTAGAGGAATGTTGTTGAAAGGATTCTTCTTCTAGTCCCTCAATGATGAGAGATAAATCCTTAATCGGTACTTCCCTTCTTTAATCTGAAATATAAAAACACAAACATCTATAGTTTGATGTTAATGCAGTTTCAAGTTTAACAGTCTCTAATAAGACTAGTAAATATAATCACTGTCCAATTTAAATAATTGAAATGATTACAACCTCGTTTATGTGAACAATATACAAATCTACACATATACATGAAAACTGTATACATTGATGTCAATACTGTTTCAAGCTAAATATTCAGTATCCTGTCTGAAATAACATCTACCTGGGTCTTTTTCAGCTTTTCACATCATTCACCCCCTCCCCAATTCAATTTTTCTGAGTGTTAAACTTCTAGAAATGAAAAATAAAGGTCTTCAGGTACAGGAAAACAAACATTTTGAAACAATCTTATTTATTCTTATAATTTAATCACCATCATTGATTAATAAGCCAAGGTATTAATGACAGTCACTAAAGATTATTTTCTTTGTAATTCCCCAAATGTATCACAATATAAATTAATTACAAGCCAAACCTATTAAAGGAATACAACTTTAAATAATATAGCGATTATCTTTTAATTATACAGTACCTGTTGTAGTGCGATACAATTTAACACTCTACATGTAGGTATAGTATGTACGTATGCATTATGTATATAACACCAAACTTTAAGTGTCGCACAAAGAGCTGCTGGCGAAAATAATTAAGTTTCCTTTTCCTTGAGTAATGGAAGCTCATTACTGGTATCAAACCTTATAAAGATTTTTAGGAGAATGTAAATCACCACATCACACTTAATGGACTTGTTGTAGGACAGAAATGTCGTGACAACAAAATGTAATTTCCAAACCAAATGTTAGATAGAGAAAAAGCTAGAGTGATTCATTATAACTAAAGTGAATGGAGCTAGTATTGATTTTCTGTAGGAAAATAGACATCCCTATATAGAACTATTACAGAATATAATCTTTAACATAGGGTCGATAATGGCTTGATAATAACCAAGATTTCAAATATCATCTGTACGAGATGGGATTGTTAAAGCAGGAAAACCAATATCTATGAATGAGCCATTGATCACTGACACCATGAGAGTGTTTCTTATTATTAGTTACAGAATTTTCAATTCAAAGTATTACATTTCAAAACTATACAGTTCACAAAATACTATATTATATACCTGTTGTACCGTACATGTACACATGTTTTTCATTTCTGCCATACAGGTCCTCGAAATATATCTCTTATTTTTACTGGTTCCCAAGTATAAAAGGGTTATTACATGTACCAGGTACATGCCTTACAAGTGACATACAAACATACAATATTGGCAACAAGATACACACCGAACAAATCATACAAGAACATAGCTCACAATTAAATAGGTACATAGATAGGCCACAGTGTATACACAGAGTAGATTATTATACGCAACCTTATACAAATGAAACTAAAACAATTTAATGGAAGCGGGTATGTGAGCGAAACCTGCACAAGTTTGTCTCAGTGATTAAATGAAAAGTCTGTAAACAAGCTCCAATTGAGAAAAAGATAGGTTGCAAGGCAACGAAACATACGCCAACAGCAGCTAAATCGTCCAGGCAGTCAACAAGTGTTGTCACATATTTTTACTTTTATCGGTAATGAAACATTTATAATACACTAAAATCTGATTAAGAGTAACAACTTATGAAGTAATTATCAGAAAACCATTAGAATTTGTTTGGTTTTTATAAAGTTCTGCCCCATGCTAACGTATACAAAACTTTTAATATCATGGATTTAGCTGTTCAAGTCATAAAAATTCATTGAAAATCAATATACCGGTACTTGTTCGTCTCAAGATCTTAAACTCTGTGTATAAATTTAAATGACCTAGTTGTTCGTATGTCACAAAAAGATAGGTTGCCAGGCAACGAAATATACGTCCACAGCAGCTAAATCGTCCAGGCAGTCAACATGAGTTGTCGCATATTTTTTTGTCGGCAATAAAACATTTATAATACACTAAAATCTGATTAAGAGTAACAACTCAGTAATTATCAGAAAATCATTAGAATTTGTTTGGCCCATGCTAACGTTTAGTATACAAAACATTTAATACCATGGATTTAGCTGTTCAAGTTACCAAATATCATTGAAAAAAAAATCAAAATACTTGTTCGTCTCAAGACCTTAAACTCTGTATGGTCTCTAAAGCAGCCACAAGTGATCAAGGGCATAACTCTGGCAGTAATTATCGAAAATGAATAGACTTCTTTGTCTCATGACCTTAAACACTGTGTATAAATTTAAAGTCAATTGAATATTAACTTTGGCCTCTAGAGCATCCACAAGATTTTTTGAAGTGATCAAGGGCTATAACTCTGGCAGTAATTATCGAAAATCAATGAAAATGAATAGACTTCTTCGTCTCATGACCGTAAATACTGTATAAATTTAAAATCAATCGGATATTAACTTTAGCCCCTATAGCGTCCACAAGATTTTTCAAAGTGATCAAGGGCCATAACTCTGGCAGTAATTATCTGAAATCGCTGAAAATCAATAGGCTTCTTCGTCTCATGACCTTAACACTGTGTATAAATTTAAAGTCAATCGGATATTAACTTTAGTCCCTAGAGCATCCACAATTACGGTCGACAGGGGCGACAACAATCTACGAACACATTTCAATGTGGGCGTATAAAAATGTATCAAAAACAGAAATTCTGAACAAAGATATAGCACAGCAGTAAACACCTGTATGTCTTATCTCCGATTGTATATTAACCAGCGGCTGCCGGGCAGGATACACCCATATTTTGCAAGAGATGGATAGAGAAAAAGCTAAAAACAAACGGGATACAAACAGGGGCAATAATCCAGAAAGTTATGGTCTGAAATTCACAAATATCAAAAGGGACTGAGATATTTGGGATATAAAGATGTGTTTAAATTTCATCGAAATCGGAAAAAAATTGTGACTCTAGAGGGTCCACAACCTTCGTATTGCATACTTTTACACAATTTGCGTACAAAGAGCGGACATGGTGAAATGGTGATATATTTAAATGGTTTTTAAAATCCGAACTAAATTACGGTGTAACGGTGATATATTCAAACGTTTTTTTAAATCGGATAAAAATTATGACCGCTATAGGGTCCACAAGCTAAAAACACGATTTTTCGTACAATCTGGGGCCATAGTTCAGAAACTTATGATCCGATACACGCTAACATCGAAAGGAACCAATATCTTTGGGTTATAAACATGAATTTCAAGTTTCATCAAAATCAGATCAAAATTGTGACCTCTAGAGGGTCCACAGATGTTATTACACTACTTGCGTACGAGGGGCGGACATTTTGTCCAGCAGTTTTAGTCCGATTTTCACGAAATACGAACTCAGCCAAAAATTACGGTGGAACGGTGATATATTCAAAGTTTTTTTTTTTTTAAATTGGATAATAATTGTGACCTCTAGAGGCACCTCAAGCTAAAAACGTGATTTTTTGTACAATCATAATTCAGGAGGTTACGGTCTGATATGCACGAATATTGAAAGGAATTGAGATCATTGGGTTATAAACCTATATTTCAAGTTTCAACAAAATCGGATAAAAATTGTGACCTCTATAGGGTCCACAAGCTACAATCAGGGGCCATAATCCATGAAGTTACAGTCCGATACATGCCAATATCGAAAGGAACCAAAGATCTTAGGGAGATAAACCTATATTTCAAGTTTCATTGAAATCGGATAAGAATTGTGACCTGTAGAGTGTCCAAAAACAATTGTGGACGGACAGGGGCAACGACAATATACGTCCACATGAAAATGTGGGCTTATAAAAATCTTAATTAATCTAATTTCTGTATTTCAAGTAACTTGTTAATCAGAAGGTGTGTTACAAATTTCATTGCAGTAAATGGAAGCTTAATCTAATTTAATTCACAATATATCTACATGAATAATTGATACTGTCACATGGATTTAATAAAAGCTTACAAAATACATATGTATAAATTGATTTTTAATCAACAGCTACTTAAAGGGTAATCCTGATAAACAATTTAATACCTACTCTGTGCACATGGGGTAGTTTTTGTCAGCTTAACAGTCATAACACTAACCTAATTAATTTTTCATGTGACCTGACGCTGAAACCTTGTGAACAAGCCAACAGTGAGGCTGATGTCCCCCGCCGAAATAGCAAAATAATTAGATGACACGTATTAATTAATAGAACATTTATTTTTTTCAAAAGTATCGAACAGTTAAACTATAGACTAAGTTTCATCACTGTCTATCAAATAGAATCAAGATTATGAAACTGATAAGCTCTGCTTGGCTTCAGCTCGAAATGTTAATCATTGAACTTAGTCAAGACATTCACCTAATGAACATCTACATCAAGTTTAAACATTCTACCTCAATTAAAAGCAGAGTTATTATGTTCCAAAGTCTTGACCAATCAATTAAATTGCTTATTGCTCCTTAGCCTTAGCAGAAAATTTTCACCATTGAACTTAGTCAAGGTAATGATATAATGAATCTATATTCGGAGTTTCATCTCTCTCAAAGTTATCATGCCCCAAAGCATCAACCAATCAGATTGCTTATCTCTGCTTACCGTAAGCATACAATGTTCATCATTGAACTCCATCAAGGCATTCACCTAATGAAAGCCTACACCAAGTTTGAACATTCTACATCAATTAGAATGTGAATTATTGTGTTCCAATGTCTCGACCAATCAAATTGCTTATCGCTCTGCTTAGCCTGAGTAGAAAATGCTCATGATTGAACTTAGTCAAGGTATTGATGTAATGAAACTATACACCAAGTTTCATCAATCTCACTTAATTAGAACTAAAGTTATCGTGTCCGAAAGCATCAACCAATCAAATTGCTTATCTCTGCTTACCCTAAGCGGAAAATGCTCATCTTCGAACTCCATCAAGGCATTGACCTAATCAACACATACACCAAGTTTGAACATTCTAGCTCAATTAGGCAGAGAGTTATCGTGCCCCAAAGTATCAACCAATCAAATTGCTTAT